TGCCAAATAAATTCCTTTATCACTCTTTAAAAAATGATTATAGGGCCGGGAATTTAGCTCAGTGGTTCCGCCACCTGACTCGAAAGCACAAGATCCCGAGTTCGATCCCCAGCACCAAAACAAAAAAATAATTATAAATGCATGAACGTATGAGTGGAGAACACCATGTGGCACCAGAAAATAAGGACATGTTCAAAAACTAATGGAGAGGGCCAGGGATTTAGCTCAGTGGTGCCGCTGCCTGCCTCACAAGCACAAGGTCCCGAGTTCAATCCCCAGTACCAAAAAAAAAAACCTAATGGAAATACATCAGAAGGGCACAGAAGCCAGCTTGAAAGGGCTTCCATTAATCAAATATGGGTTGATAAAACCATCTAAAACAAGATAGTAGTAATGAACTATAGCACAATGGACAAAAGAATCAGTTCATAGTGTTACTCTGAAAGGGAAGGAGAAGTACAGAGAAAAGGGTCTTTGCAGAAGAATGTCAGCCAATAAATAAGCTAGAAAATCACCACTTTACAATCACAAATATTAACAAGTGATTCACAGAAAAAGCATCAATAAATGCTAAAATTATTTGGCAACAGATTCCTGGGAAGCAGACTATGCATACACTCTAAGTACTGTCCCACATATTATTTATTAATTATAATCAGAAAAGACAACTGCACAATAGCGAAATATGAAAGACACCAGTGATGAAACACAACATCAGCAATAATGGAACAACTTGACAATTATGCACCTTTTGAGATGATGCACTGATTTGGAAACAATATCAATTACATTGTAATTGTGCCAAAAATCTTCATGTGAACTAAATATAAATTTAAGAAAATTCCACAAAACCACTGGCCTGGAAGGAAAAAAAAAATCAAGAAAAAAGGTAGGGTAACTGCTCTAATTCAAAAAAGATCAACTAGATATACCAACTAAATGTACTAAGTGACAACTGATCTTGGGTCAAAAATTTAAAAAAAAAAAAAAAAAACCAAGCATGGTGATGCACACCTATAATTCCAGCACTCATGAGGCTGAAGCAGGATGGAGGCTGAGGTGGGGGATCACTGTGAGTTTGAGGCCAGCCTGATCCACATAGTGAATTCAAGGCCAGCCTCAATTACATAGTGAGACCCTGTCTCAGAAAACCAAGAGAAAAAATAAGAAAAAAACCCAGCTAGCTGGGCATGGTGATGCACACCTGTAATCTCAGCACTCGGGAGGCTGAGGCAGGAGGATCACCAAGAGTTTGAGGTCAGCTGAGCTACATAGTGAGTTCAAGGTCAGCTTGAACTACATAGGGAGACCCTGCCTCATTAAAAAAGAAATTTGTTTTAAAGCTTTAAAGGAACTTTATGGTGACAATAGGGTAAACTGGAATACAGACTATATATGGCATAAAATTATGTATCATTGTTAAATTTTCTCGATGGGATAAAGACATCGTGATAAGTAGAGGAGAATGTCCCTGTTCTTAGGAGAGAGAAGCTGAAAACTTACAATGAAATGTTCTGATATTCACAACTTACTTTCAAATAATTCAAGGAGAAAAACAAGTACTCGTATACACCAAATAAATCAAGATAGAGATACAGACAGACATAGAAAGATGAAGTGGCATATTTAGGTGAAGGCTTTTAAAGGTGTTCACTGAGGAAAGACAAGTCCAGTCATATAAATATTGATCTGTGTTGTCCAGGAACACTTATCTGGAAAGGACCAACCAGCAGTTGCAACCACCAATCTGGAGTCCAAGAGTCAGTACTGAGGATACCCTAGAAATTGGCCATTGACATTATATATGCAATTATGTGATATGGGCAAGTGTAATGCAAAATATGGATTTAATCCTCCTCCCTTTCTCCTGGCATACAACTCCTAAAATCCTTGGAATCTCCAGCCACTTTGTAGCCCAAATGTAGCTACAGAATTAAAATGGTTTGGCTTAGAACCCCACTCCCCAACATCTGAGAAGGAAAGAGGTGCTGAAGTTTAAACTGATCACCAATGGTCAAAGACATAATCAGTCATGCCTATATGAAACCTCCATAAAAACCTCAAAGGACAGGGTTTAGAGAGCTTCTAGACAGCTGAACATGTGGAGAGAGGGCCAGGGAGCTCCACACTCCTTTTCCCGCTACCTCACCATGTACATCTCTTCATCTGTTCCTTCTGTAACATGATTTATAATAAACAAGTAAACTTAAGTGTTTCCTTGACTTCTGTAAATAGGTCTAGCAAATTTGGCATATTTAGAAAGGGTGCTGGGAACCCTAGTACGTAGCTCATGAAGTCAGAAGCACAGGGGAAATAACCTGGGGCTTGTGATCACCCCCTAAAGTAGGGAGAAGAGCAGTCTTGGGGACTGAGCCCTCAACCTGTGGAATTTAACACTATCTCCAGGTATGGGGTGTCTGAATTGAATTGAACTGGAGGACAGCAGCTGGTAGCCAGTGAAAACTGCTTGCTTGCTGAGGGGGTGGGATCCCCATCCCTTTTGGGGTCATAGGTGTGATCTACGCTCTAAGTGCATAGTGAGAGGTACTACATCTAAGTATAGACTCTGCAGGGAAAGGAGAAGCTAACAATCGGCATGCTTGATACACTACATAATTTAGCAAAATATCTCAGATAAGGAAGATACATGGACTTTGAAATTCAATTAAAATTCAGAGATTAGCCAGCTACTGTTAGCAAAAAATATGGAAAATTAAACTTTTCATCAATTTTTATGAAAAGGTCTAACACCAAAACAGCTGCTATCATAAATTTACAGGTCAATTTGGGGGGTTGTTTTGTTTTCTTTCACAATGTAGTTCAGGCCAGCCTTCAAATGGCTATGTAACCCAGGTTGACCTCAAACTCACAATCCTCCTGCCTCAGCCTCCTCAGTGCTGGGATTATAGATGTGTACCATCAGCCCAGCTACAAGCCAAATTTTTAAAAGGTATAATTTATCTAACAGGTTATCTAACCTGTATTCATAACATCAAATACTTTCAATATTTAAATCTATTTTACGTACTCCAAAAATATAGATCATAAAAATTCCCTAAAAAATTAAAAGATAACAGCCCAAAATAGAAATAACCACTTTAAAATATATTTTGAAAATGATTCATTTCCCCCAATTTAGGCACAGGTGTACATATGATTTTAATCATTAAACAGGATTACTGTGTAAATCAACTGCACCTGCATAATTATGTCTCTTTTTGTAAACACTGTTGATGAGTCCTACACTAGACACAGATAAGATCTCTAAGTAAGATAAACATATCTTGAATTACAGGTAAATGCTTTTGTGCCATCTATATCTACAATTTAGAACAGAAATAACTGGCCTACCTGTCAGTTATCCATCCCAACACTCAAAACAATAATGACCTCCTCCCAGCCTGCTTACAGACTTTATGTGACCAGTAAAAAGGAAAGTGCAATTGTATTATAGCATGAATTTGGGCTACAAAGTGACTGGAATAAGTTTTATTTTTTAACTAACTCAAGTATATATCTAAATGAGTGATACATTTCAGAGATGAACCCTAACAAAATTATATGTTTATTCCATAAGGCCTTTTACTCGTTTTTGGACTCATTTTCAGAATTTCCTTCATAGCCAGTCTTATCACATTCACCCAAGCATTGCATCCATCTTTTCTAATAGCCTGACTTTTTACCCATCCTTATGATTCATCTTATGCACCAAACTTGATTTTGCCAGTTCTGAGAATACCCCAAAGAACAGGCAATGGGTCTGATGTCAATTATGAAGGGAAGTAGAGAAAATCTCTTGAAAAATTACAGCATTATTTTCCATAAGTGTAAAAACTTCCCATAAAAGCAACTTTGAAGAGGAAAGACTGATAATTTCTTATTTTTGAAACCACATGACATAACTTGTATCTCATAGATGTAAGTTATATCTGTCATTTCATGAAAGAGGAGAGCAAGTGCATTCTAGTAATTTGAGTCATATACTATATACTCTGAAATGTCATCTCCCTAAAAAAGTTAAAACTGGCTTCCAACGATACTTGTGACAGAGCACCGGGGCAAATGTAATTACAGTGTACTTTTAGAAAAAGCTTTAGTTATCAGAACCATCTCAGATTTCTTTGTCTGTTTTTGAAATATGATTCCCTAAAGCAGTGGTTTTAAGTTTAAATTCTGATAGGAAAAAAAACTCTCAAAAGGTTTTCTGCCTTTGGTAAAAAGGAAACGAGGAACTTTCCCCATTGGTGGCCCCCCTCCTACACACACACACACACACACACACACACACACACGCTTCCTACTCTGCTTGCACAGGATTTACACATGTCCTGGCCACAAGACTCCTCTTGCTTCTCCCTGGGAAATCAAGATGCCCGTGCAGCACTGCTCTTCCACACCATAGCACGAGGCTGCCACCTACAGAACCACTGAATCCATCCAGCACCACTCAGGGAGAAGGAGAGGGAGACTCTGCTGAAGCAAATGCTGTCTGCTGCAGATCACACAAAGGAGCCGCTAGTAACGACTGCACTTTACCTGCACACACAGGTGTGATTCTCTGGGGGGGAAATGCACTGGTGACTACTACAATGGGGCCACCAAGAGGAGGAATGCACACTTCAGCTCTGTCACTCGTGTAAACAACTGTGGCTTAAAAAGCATCACAAGCAATATGACATCTTACACAGAGCAAATTTAACTGGACATCCTGCTTTGTCACAAAAAGACACATAAAGTGGCAAATCTACTGGAAATAAGATGGTGTTTCCAACTCTCTGTAGGACAGCCTGTTCTCAGAGGTAAATTGCCCAACTGATAAAATTAAAATTATGAAACACAGCCATTTAACTTTGAATCTGTTCTAAATTAGTTTCTCTTCTCCCATTCCACCATTAAGCATGATAATTTGACTTGGGAAGAAACAGCTAATCTACTATTGATTAGAGCTCACTCCACCACTTCTCCTTTGATTACTACATATGTAAGTGAGAGGTACAAACCATCCATCGGTCACGAGAAAATGCAAAAGATAAATAGCCTTCCCCAGGACCACTCATTTCCACCACCACTGACTGCTCATCTCTCATGAAGGACAAGAAGACACAGGTGTGCTCCTTCTCTGGGTCACAGTTCAAAGGACTCCTGATACAGAACTTCTTGTTCCCACAGTCTGAGGCACTGAACTAGAGAAATGACAGGAAGAAAAAAAACTTAATTATTGAGCAAGCACTTCAAGTTCATTGCCAATCACAGAAGAGTCACCACATTCAATGATAGGTTTTAATGAGAAAACCTTTTCATCATAAGGATTCAAAAAAAGAACAGAAGACATATTCCAAATTAGAAGTGATCAGAGCAGTAGTTAGTGAACTTTTGAACTTAACTAATTTTAATTAAAATTTAGAAAATTTTATCCTAGTTGGCCTGCAGTGGTACAAGAGCACTAAAGTCCCTTTATATCAAAGCATTTCACATTAAGGGTACTCCAGAATGTATCTGGAGCAAAGTTTCTGGTAAATTTTGAGAAACTTCTTAGGGATTATGTCCACATTAACAATCCTGCCTAACAAGTAGTCTCTAGTTTTCAAAGATGGGATTTTTTAAACCGGGCAAATCCTTAGCAAGTTTTTATACTTAGGAGGTTTTGGGGGGGGGGGGGGTACCGGAGATCAAACTCAGGACCTTGCACTCGGGACCTTGCACTTGCGAAGCAGGCGGCAGAACCACTGAGCTAAATCTCCGGCCCAAGTTTTTATATTTAGATCTTGGTCTCTGTTTTTAAAATTCTAGTTCAAATTTGATACTAAAGTAACACAAGAAAAAGTTAGCCCGATAAATATCATTATTCCATACAGCAGTAATAATTTAGTGAGGCGAAGAATACGCAATGATCTGTAATGATTTAATCCAGGGCTTCTTGTTATGCATACAAGAGGAAGTCTCAAAAACACATCAGCTCTACAATTTGGCAGAGCAAGCAAACAGACTTTGTTAGAATGGGCAGCAAAAGTACATTTCAAAAGAAAGCTAAACGTTAACTTTATGTAACTAGATTTAATGAGAATGTAACGACCAATCACAGTAGGGTGAAGAGAACAAGCCACTAGGAACTAGGAACATAATTTTGGTCTCTGCTCTCCCCTTTACTCCACCACATTTTCCAAAGAACTTAATTCTCTAGGGTCCCTTTACCTTGAAATGTCCAAGAGGGAAACTGAACAAAAGAGACCCTAAGGTCTCTTCTAGCTCTAAAAAATGCTACAATCCTATGACTGAACAAAATTCCCTATCATCAGAACTAGAAATTTGGCACAGAAATACAGTAAAAGTTCTGAAAAGAGCATACCCCTTTTACTGACTACATGGAAAGACAAAAACATTGTCAACATGAGAACAACAAAAAAGGAGAGAAAAAGAAAAAGAACTAATGCTTACTAAATATTAAGTGCAAGGCACAGTTAGAAAACATATTCCTTATTTTAATTCTCACAGTGCTACTAAAAGCAAGATATTATTGTTTCTCATAAGTGAAACTGAGACTGAAAATTGAGATTTCTCTAAAGACCCACAAGAAGTAGACAAGTCAGTATTTGGGCCCAAGTGTGCTCTTCAAACCGCAACCATCTGTCTCAAGACACAGTCAGAGCCACTTCTGAATTGAACAGGCTAATTTACCTGAATTTCCTTTAGTAAAATGCCTCTTCCTAATATTTCTAATATGCACTACTCTTTCCAAGATGTTTTTCAATCATAATTTTTTTAATCAGAGGCCCTAAATGGAATTCTAGCTGAGAACCTTACAGAAAAAAATTTTCTATTGTTCAACATACAGAACTCCCCACTACTCTTTGACCTTTAAGAAATAAGATCTAGAAGTTATACCACCACTTTAAGAATCTCCTCCAAATCTTGTCTCAATTTAGCTTAAGCTCCCTCTCCATGATTGACACTTGGCCACGAGGAAAGAAACAAGGGAAGGACTTCTTCAAATTTATTCCCAAATGAAAATATATCCACTGCTAATATAAACTAGATGTGAATATTATAACCAATCTTGAACATTAAGGTTCTTGCATTTCCTTTATTCTAACCTATAAAGAATAATGTTGCAGTAAAGACTTCCTTCAGATTCCTACTGAGAACACAAACACTTGCTACCAAAACCAAGTTCAGCCACTTCTTTAATATGCACTTTACCAAGCATCAAACAACAATTTCCAAGAAAGCTTTTTAGACTGCATTTGGTGAAGCTATAAAAATATGACTTACTGGTTTGGTTAAATGGGAGATTGGAGGTGATGTTGACGATGGGGCTGTTGTAGCTTTAGGTGTTGTAAAAAGAAGTGCATTTGGCTGTGAAATTATCTGACTAGGAATCTTCACCCAGTAGATTTTATACTTCTCAACAACTGTGGCTCTGAAATGCAGTCATAGTGAGATTAGACAAAACCCTAATTGTGGCCCAACATAATGAAATCAAACTGTTAAAAGAAAAAAAGTGGAAGAGATGAATTAGGAACACACAACTTTTCTGAAGCAAATCTCTGTCTTCTACCCTATCACTGTAAGAACTTGTATTACTCTCTCCTTTTGTCCCTCTCTTTTTTGGCTTTTTTGTTCTTTGGACATATTAACAGCAGGCGCAAATGTCACGTTCAGAGGCTAAACTGCACAGATTTCTTCTCCTTGGTGCATAAAGAATGTATTACTACTCATTTCATAGTATACTATTCACATTCTTCCGAAGGGAGTATGTGGCAGGCAGCTACAGCAAGTAGCTCAAAAGCGATTGCATAAGTAACTGTCAGTTCTTACTGGGTCACAGTTCCTTTTTAACGCTCCACCACAACAGAGATATAAAGTTGTTGTTTGTACTGGGCAGGTGTGTACAAAGTTAAGCAGAAAACAGAGACATGTCAGGATAGCGATATTTCCTTGAAATATACGTCCATATATCACTACATGGCTTCATGACATTCCATTTCTCCTGCACGGAGAAAGAAGGAAAAAGCACTATTTTAATTCTTCTGAGTTTCATAATTCTTAGAGGCATGCTGGTTATTTTTCTAACAGTCTAATCTGCAAGTTGTAACAATGCAAAAAAGTCATCCAAACTTCAGAACTATATTTTATTCATATTTTCATACTAAAAGGAGCCACTATTTTGAAAAGCATTACTCCATATACCATATAGGCTCAAGTATTAACTGATAGTTTTATGAGTTTTAGGGTAACGTAATAATTCACTCATTCAGCAAATGTGTAGTAAGTCCCTATTAGGTACCAAGTGCTGGGCTTGGTGCTGGCTATGTCCTGTGGCGGAATAAGCAAACAAAAACGCAAAACAAACTCTTACATAAGTAAGCTAGTGTCACTATGCCAAAAGTCTCCTAGACAAAGAAAGTCCAATAGCATACAGAATGGCACAAACCACCGTGGCTGCAATTATATTAGTTACAGAGATATAAAGCCTTCTACTCACAGAAACCGTATGTGATTTGGGGCACTGCTTGGAGCCTTCCAATAAACTTTAATTTCTGTTTTTTTGGATGAACTTGTGTGACTCACAGCTGATCCCTGAAATAAAATGGAAAAGAACAACCATTCATTCAATCAACAGCTCAGCAAAGCTGGAACTACTATCATTTTGCAAAGTAAGACATAGTTTCATGGCCATGCATTCTGATAGACTATTTTATCTAGTACAAGAACTCAGATACTGAATAAATATATGTGGATTGGATGACAACGTTTCAGCAGTTAACTGTGAATACATTAAAGACATCAGAAATTTAAGAACTGATCATGAATACTGGGTATGTTAATACTAATAGAGCCAGGTCGTTATTTCATTTATACTATAAATTTATATTTCTTCCATTAATAGACACAAATAAAATGCAGATAATTCCTCAAAAGAAAAAAGAAAAATTTCCTGCTTCCAAGTATGCAACATGATATTTTAGTAATTTCTTTCTTTTCAGCAATTTCTTTCACCTCGTAAACTCCTACATTCTTCAAAGCCTAGAATAGATATCATAACCAAGAAGCTCTCTCAGTTCCCTCCATCCTGTATGTAACTCCTTCTACTGCTCTCCCTATGTACTCTGTGTACACAGTAACCTACTGAACTCTTCTGCTTGTGGCCTGTGTCCACATGTTCTACTTTTGTGTCATACTTCTTATGTCCATGTGTCACACTGATGTGAAAGGATGTAAGTTCTTCAAAGAAAAACAGTCTTGTTTGTCACCATATCCCTTGTTCCTCATAAAATAAATGTTTATTAAATGAATGAATGAATGAAATTAGGCCTTTGCCCACTCTAGAACTCTATTTTTCAATAATGAAATTCTTCAAAAATCAATATACGTTAGTCTGATCTAAAATATCACAAACTATAAACTCTTCAGGCCTATGCCCTACCTTCCCTAGAATGGTGATGTGAAAACACAAATTTCAAGTAAATTAAAGGAAAAGCATGCTCATGGTGAATCTGTTTAAATGACTGTCTTGCCTGGGTAATGTCACTGTAACAATTACCACATTTCACTTTCCAAAATGAAAAGACTCCAAGGAAGCTGACAGAAATTAATCACAAGTGAAACACAAACCTGTATATCTTCACAAGTCAGAAGTTGTGACACCTGACTGTCAATCAACATGAAGGAACCAATAGGAGGGCCATCCAAATCCTCAGCATTGCGAGCTTCTAAAAGAAAGCCTTTAAAAGGTCGTCCTGACAAAGTAACTACGAAACAGACCAAAAAGACAGATTAACAGATTTAGTAAGACCCCAAAAAGGAAAGTTTACAGAAATCACATCACAGTTAGAACCAAGTATGTGTGCTCAAAACTACTCTTGGAGAAAAAAGAGTAGGAATCATTCTACAGACAAAGAATGTCTGAATTGTATTTCACTGGACATTCAGTCTAGGAGATGGTAATATCTAACCCCAAGGGGGAAAAACACAGGTGACAGCCAATGGGTATCTGTAGGGCTAAATTAGTTTTGAATGCTAGATGAAAGTAAATATTTGTTTCTTTACTACAAATCTGGCGTTTTTAATATTCTACTGTGCAGTGTGAAACTCTAAGAAATACAATATGTATAGCATACAGAGTGTTCTAAACTTCTTTCTCAATATACCCTTTTTGTTAAAGAATACTTATTGGGCCAGGGATTTAGCTCAGTGGTTTCGATGCCTGCTACACAAGTGCAAGGACCCGAGTTTGATCCCTGGTACCAAAAAAAAAAAAAGAATACTTATTAATGTTTTTCATTTCCAGAACAAGGGTGCTCTACCACTGAGCTATAAGCCCAGGCCACTTTTTACTTTTTTGCAACAGGTTCTTGTTAAATTGTCCAGGCAGGAGTTGAATTTGAGATCTTTCTGCCTTAGCTTCCCAAAACACTGGGATTACAGGCATGTGCCACTGCACCAGCTTGTAACAAACATTTATAACAGTTTGCCTACATTTTGCCAATAGAATCAAGGAAACACTATTTCAATAAAGACAAGAGTTAATTATATCTTAAACAAGACAAATTTATTTTCTTCTTCTAGGTTAATAGTACTACTAATATATAAATATTAAATAATGATAAGAAACATTCTAAAACCCATTCTGAATAGGGAGTAGATACACTACATAAGTAATATGGTCATCTGTAGTAAACAAAAAAAAAAAATGAGAAAAATAAGATTATGGTATCTTACAAAAACAAATAAATAGATTAAAATGAAATAATCCAAATCCAATAATAAAAATGCAATAAACAGTAAAAGTATGGAACTCAAAATGGAAATAATTATTCCCAGTACAGTACCTTCAATCTGGTCTCCGGGTCTGAATGTCGTCTGACTCACTGCCATGTGGTGAGTTGGCTCAGACTGTGGGCTATGACCATGTTCAGGAACCATTCGATGGCATGACTTTGTTACTTTTCCGTTGGGGTAACTGGCCACCGAATTAACATGCAACAGAAATACGAAGGCACTGAGGGTAAATCCTGGAACTGCCATCTCAAAAAGAAGATTAAAAACATATCATTCTCAGATCTAATTAAAATAAAATACATCAGTTTTCATAAGACAGGACAGTAATTCTAGGTAATTACTTGCCTTCAATGCTCAGCTATCCATAGTTTCAAAACATAAAATAAAAAGAATGTAGGTGAAGTCAGATTTGGATTTAAATCTCAGCTCTACCAAGTACCAGCTGTGAGACTTTGGACAAATCACTTCTTAAGTCCCCACTTCCTTACCTAAAAGACGAGGAAAGGAAGGAAACTGAGACTCCTTTCAAAGCTGTTTTAATGAAACAAAGGTACAGCCCCAGGGTCTGACAGGAAAGATAGTAAAAGATAACTTTCATTAGTATGTTGGGGAAATAATAAACTATTCAATACAAACATTTTGGCAGGGATGTGTTACAGGGTCTTCAGAAACCAGGCCACAGTCTTGTTCCCTCCAGGCCCCATTCTCAGGCTTCAGTCTGGACCTGCAGTTGCATACTGGCTCCCTCCCCTCGGTTCTTAGACCTTTGAACTCAGATTGCATTACACCACCAGCTTTCCTGCTTCTCCAGCTTGGAGACAGCAAATTGTGAGACTTCTCAGCTTCCTTAATCACATGAGGCAATTCTCATAAGAAAAAAAAAAAAAAA